CAGCCCACAAAAACAGATACCCAAATTTAAGATGCAAAAAAGAAGAGAGAGAAACCAATTGAAATCCAAATCTGCATCCTTATTACAATGAAGAATACACAAAAATGACCAATCCCTCATTTATCAAAATGGAATCCGTTATTACAGCTTTTTTTTCCAAAAATGGAATCTTGATTGGTAACCCCATTTTTTTTAATAAGTTTCTTGCTTCGAATGAATAAAAAACACCACATTTATCAAAAATACACATACGGTTCTGGACAAAAGAGCCAAGGGCAACACAACTCAAAATTGAAAATAAAAGTCTAAGTAGCAATCAACCTATCAACTATAATTGATGTACAAACCAAAATAAAACACCACGACTAGAATTAACTTTAGGAAAGTAATCATCTTCAGAGAAGAATTTGAACCTGAGACATGACCAGAGTTGAAAACTTTTCACCCAATCATTTACTTTATAGTTTTACAATAATAAAAAAGAAAATGGGTATTCCTATCTTCACATAAATTTGGACTTTTGTTCAATTCAAAATATTGTTGTTGTTAGACAAATGGGACTCACATACAGGTGAGTGTGAGGTTATGAGTATGGAAATAGGGTAATCCTAAATAGAACGACAGCCATCAAAACCATTAACCATGTGATAGTTGGAGGGGTAGAGTAATGACCTTGAGATTGCCAGGCAACTTGTTGGCAAGGGCCTCAGCGAAATCAGCGATGGCATTGTTGAGGTAGAGGACAGTGGAGTGCTGCAAGCGCTTGGTTTGGTTGACAATTGCATCGACCACATCGGGATGACAGTGGCCGCAACACACCGTAGCGATCCCTCCGAATGCGTCCAGGTATCTTCGTCCGTTCTCATCGAACAAATACTGCATCCTCCCATCCACTACGTTCAGCTGGGAAAAAAAAAAAACAGAATATTCACAAAAAGAAAGAGAGAGAGAGAGAGAGAGAGAGAGAGAGCGACAGTGGGGCCCACAGTGGAAAAGAAAAAACAAATCTTCCGCTGTTGTAAACTTCATACAGAGTTCAATGAATTTGGGAATCAGCCAAACAGATCCGATCCGATGCCGTTTAAAAATAAAAATATAATAATAAAAAAACTCACGGGTTTATTGTAAAAGTAAAACAAGGAGGGGCTGAGAAACTCCTTGCGTTTGGAAAGGATATCGGCGGCTGAGGGACCGGTGTAAAGAGGCGGAGAGTAATCAAAGGGGGGCATTTTGGGAACAACGACATCGTTGTTAGAAGCCTCCTTTTGAGCCACCTGAGAGAAGCAGCGTCGTCGTTGCCACCACCGCAGAGAATATTTGGTTTCCGACGATACCCTCCCAGCTGGAATAAATCTCTGCATCGTTATCTCAGCCGCTGCTTCTCTTCTGTCTTTTGGGAGAAATGAAAAAAGATTTCCGAAAATGTAGGACTCGGTGGTTTTAATGCTGTTTAGTAAGGAAAGGCAATATTTAAGGGAACAGACAGAGCAGATGCCGGATGGTGCTTGGAAGGAAGAATTGGGAGGGAAAGTTTATATAGCGAAAGGATTCTTGCTGACGTGTTCTTGAGTGGTTTGTTTCGGGGGGGGGCAACGTTTAACAAATGCCCATGATGTTTCTTAAAATTACACTTTGGACATCTCACGTGGCTTAAAATTAGCCGTCCACATAAACAGTGCCACCAAGTCACGTGCTAGAGGTTCAATCTTTTCTGATATATATGATTCAAGGACTGACCGTTTTGGAAATAAAAAATTTCATATATGCGATAAGTGTTCGACTGTTCTTATCCGAAAACCAAAAATGGCAGCTGTATAAATTTTTTAACCTTTTCATATAAAAAAATTAAACAATTTGTTTACCTAAGAAACTCTAGTTTTACCATTCTTCTTTTTTCTTATGCTTTCTTTGGATATAGTCTCCGATTTACAATTAATCTTTGCATTCTAAAATAATTATTTTTTATTCTTTTTTGATAAAATTAACTTAATTTTTATAATTATTTTTAATCAAATTAAAAATACTTATAAATTATGAATTTAATTTTTGTAAATTTTAATTTAATATAATATTAAAAAATAAAATTCAAGTTGAGTTAATTTAATAAAAAATTCATAAAAGGCAGTTAATTTGGGAAAAAGTTTGTAAGTTTTATTGGAAACTCATTATTTCAATTAATTCTTTTGGTGCATTACTTTAATAATTTACTAAATATGTAAGAGAAAATAAATTTATTTATTATTTATTCATGTTATATTTGGTTTATGATATTTATTTGCGAAAGAAAAAGGTTTTTGACCATTTAGTTTGCCTGGTGGACTGGACACTGGACAAACAATTCGAAGTTCCACATAAAAACTGTGACATTTTTTAAGGCGTGCCAAAATAGAGTGTCTTTTGTGATGGCTATTTCACTTTTATTAGAAAATTTTTATTAAGATGGCTACTACACTTATAAATTTTATTTTTTATAAAAAAAAAATTTATTAGGATTCGGCTGCGTTGATCACGTTAAATTTGATTGCGCTCAATATCAAATAAAAAAAATAGAATTTTAATTAAAAATGTCATTTTCCAAATGATATTTAAATTAAAAAAAAAAAAAAGGATTTTAAGTTTACTATATTTAAGGACTTGAGGTTTATTTTTACAAATGACAAAAGAGACAAGAGAAAAGCTAGAACGAGGAACTGTGATTAGCCAAATTAATCATGACATATGAGTCGATTATTGCTCCTTGTTTCCCCCGCCTATGCATTCGTGACCTACTGCATTTTTCTTGGGATTGTTCATGCAATAAAAAATTTGTGTTTTGTTTTTAAATTCTTGATAGTTAAGTTGCTCGATCATTCATGTTAGGATAATGTTGTATTTTCGCATAAATCTGGCATTTGATATAAACATCCATGCATCAAAGGTCATATGGTGAATTTGGCATTGTGCGTAGGTTCTCAAAACTTAGTATAAACTATATAAACATGATAACGAATTCGAATTTTCAATGAAATTGCAATTGGAGGTATAAAAAAAAAAGATTTTTTTTTATAGTTTTACAAATTATATTCTTTTATAAAAGATATCGTAATTTAAAAAATTATAAATATTAAAATCTGAATATTAAATACAAAATCATTTTGTTATGATTGATTATATGAAATAATTAAATTAATTAAGCATCGAATTTACAGACTATAATTTTTTTTCAAAATTAGAATTTTCCACTTAGTTTAAAAGATCAAAGGAATTACTACTCCAAAGTTGTCTCCACCAGAAATTTTATAACATGTCAAGATTAGATCAGGACAGAAACGACAAATGTGGCCATGCATGTTTTTCTTTAGCTAAACAATGCTCAACTAAAATCAGACATCAGCTGATAAACGTGGTTCAGATTTTAGGTTAAGGAGGAACCTAATGTTATAAATTTTTTTTTTTTTTTGCATCAGATGGTAAAACCCTAATATAAGTAAAGGGAAAAGAGAGATTTAGTTCAAAACCTTCAATATTCTTTCAAGCGCATATGTAGTTCGAAATCAAACTTTTAATGTTCTTTCAAGCGCCTTTAATTATTAAACTAAAAGCTTAAGGACAACCTAATGTTATAATCTTATCCATATTCAAATTTTTGGGTCATTCCACCTACCCCATAAAGAAATCTAAATTCAGAAATTACAATTTTGTAACTTTATCAAACTACAAAAAACGGGTTTCCAATAGAAAACTTTGTGGCATCTCTAAAATAAGCGGAGGCAAAACTTCGCACTGAATTTAACCCGTTAACATTGCTCAATTCAAATCTAGGCCTCACTTTATTTAACCGGCTCAGATTTTAGGTTAAAGATTTGGTCATTCCATTTACTCCATAAATTAAACAAAATCTAAATTCAGAAATCAAGACCTCAGGCTAATGTATCTGGTTCAAAACTCGGGACAGATGGGGAATTATTATTATTATTATTATTATTATTATTATTCATCAACTATAAAAAAAAATAATAATAATCTCCAAAACAATGCAATAAAATTTTGCTTTTAAAGTTGTGGTCATCGTTTTCAGTCACCAAGGCAATAATATTGATGAATATAATTTATTAGAATTTAGGTCATGACGATGATGATCGGAAGATAAAGGAGACGTGTTTAACTTCGTATGTTAAAGTAAAGTTATTCTTGGATAAAACAGGCTTTCGACATCAAAGTTCATCAGATGGCATGACACCTTGTTGTCCGTTCTGCCGTGTAGGATTTCCATACACATCACATTGCTTCCTTCCTGTTTAGTTTATTATATATTTTTATTAGAGTCTCGAGCGAATGGAGCTTTCTATTGACATGCCATTGAGACGGCAAAGGCAAACAACCTTTCACATAGATGGTACAATAACAAAAGCAAACTCTCAAGGAAAGTGATGGGCAAGGATAGTGATTGATTTGAAAATAATTATATCAACCACCCAATATAATTTCTTCTAATAATGGAAGATCTAATCAACCATTAACGAGATGAGTTGGCAAACATAGTCTTGCTTGATCGATATGTTATACCCTCCCTTTTATATTTTTGGCATGCAACTCTTCACTTAGGAATTAAGAACTTGATGTGATCTAAATTTGAGATAATTGAGGTTTGGATCACGTGAAATTCAGAATGTTTCAGTTCTCGATTTTGGATCTAGTTATTTCTAGTTGTAATCAAAATTGGATTAGAATAATTAGCATTTGCATTTTTTGTATTAAATTTGATGATGATCTGATTAGAATATAACTGATTAATTAAAAAATCAAATATAATGATGATCTGATAGACAAAAAGGATGGGAATCATCCTGCCAGACTAACCACAAATTGTAATAATTGGATATCATATCTTATCTTGTTGCCAGCCAACGATGCATTTCATTGCGTGGCATAAATATTATATAAGTTATCTTGTTCTGACATGTTTCATATTATAAATGTTGCCAATCACGGCACATTTCTTTTATAAGCCAATGGAGTTGCATCAATTAAAGAATTTACCTTGTCCATACTATCCTTCTACCCATATGGCACATGCTGGTATATGAAGCTAAGTGCTTCCATGTGCAAGCAGAAATAGCACAGGCAGAAACAGCGCAGAATTAGAGAACCAGACAATTGAAAATTTGAAAACATTTCTAACCTTTCTATAAATATTGCTTCTGTATTTACCCATTTCTAATCATATGATGCTTCAAAATACATATTTCTCATATTTTACCTAGTTGTAGAGTGCTAGACTCGTAGTTCTAGCGATCAGCATCAAAATTTGACAATCTCAAATAACTAAAAATAGCAATGAATATAACATTAAAAAGTTTCTATATACCTGTATACTAGCTGAAGACAGTTTTGTTTGTAGTTCAGGGTTTTCAAAATTGTCTGAAGGTAAGATTAAGACGACCACGACGAAGCCCAGTTTCAGCTAAAAGAGCCTCAGGAGCAGAGAATGGAATGATGGATCTCACCCCATGAAACACCATTCGAGATTCACCACCAAATATTAGTACATCTCCCGAATCCAATAACACTTTCTCCGCCTGGTCAACATCCCTCCGATCCCCATATAGGAATTCAGCGGAATCACCAACAGACAAAGAGACAACTGGTAATCCTTTATGGAGACTTTCTCTGCTTTCATCTCGATCCTGCATAATAGAAGCTTATCACGAGTGGAAAACTTTCTTAAACCTTTAACATAAAGGGTAATGTATCACCTTTCAGACCAAATTTTATATAAAAGATCCGCAAAGAAAATATCCAGCAGAGTATGTTCGTGGAATTAAGAATTCTTAAGCAGACAGTAAAAGAAATGATAAATAAGAACAGACCTGATGCAGTCCAAGTTTCCCATATCTTGTATAGAAGTTAACGATGCATATGTTAGGAGACATTGAAGGAAGAACATCTTCTGGATTGACTATACCAGAATCCTTCTTGATAAGGTAATGTGCATCTTGGATAGCTCTTTGAACAAGAAGACGAAATTCATGTGGAATATTGGGTGCCTCACAATCATCAAGTGGATGTCGCTTATCATATTTTCTATTCTGAGGATCCCAGTTCAGACCAAGACACATCATGTGTAGACTAAGTTTTGCTCCATCTTTGAAGCCAGGCCTGTAAAATCCCCCAGGGCCTTCACCAAGTGTTTGACAAGTCTTGACCATATTGATCTGAAAAATTAAGGTTTATTAAAGTATTTATGAATTAAAATCATGATAAAAGTGACAATTTTCCCACAGAAACAGGTACTCGTTCTTCTAAACCACATCTGCCAAAATGAGTAAAAAGAAAAAGAAAGTAATATGCAATAAATCAAAGCCTCAAGGACAAACCTGTTCGCGGAGAGAGATGTAACGTTTCAATAAAACCATTCCAGGCCTTAGGATTTCTCGCGTTTCAAAATCTCTACTTCTAGGCAGGCAAATGTTGAATCTTTTAACCTTATGCAAATCCTCGGAACAATCAGAATTCTGGGTGCCTAATACATTATTGGATTTGCTTTGGCCAGAGGGGGATTTTTGGACATGACCAGTTTTAACCTTCTTTCCGATATGATAAAGCAAAGAATGTTCTTCCTGCAGGCTTGCAATATTCACAATTCCCTCAAGTTCAGATAAATTGAGAGTTTCGTGCCTCGGCTCCACTCCCGAATCAATCCTACTACTACTCCTATTACCCTCAGAATAATCAGAATTCTTGGTACTTGCCACATTCTTGGATTTGCTTTGGCCAGACGGAGATTTTTGGACATGACTAGCCACAACATTGTCCTTTCCAAAATGACTAGGAAAAGATTGTTCTTCCCTCAGGCTGGCAATATTCGCAGTTTCCTCGAGTTCGAATGATTCAAAAGTTTCTTGCCTCACCTTAGATCCTGAATCAAACCTAGTTCTACTTTTATTAGAGTTCCAACCTCTAGAACTAGAACCCAACTTAACAGTCCGTGAGGGAAACTCTTTTTCATAGCTAGATTGAGATTTCTTCTCATTTATACTTGTTGCCCCATAAGATTGCCTTGCTTCTTTAGCAGAAGATACGCTGCCAAAATGCTTTCCAGCAGTAATCTGTTGTTTCTGAAAACAAATACAAAATTTTCAAAAAATTCCAATAATTTTAATCATTTAATCATAAGCCATACCTAATAAGTTCATTTTTCAGCCAAAAAAAAAAAAAAAAAGAAAGAAAGAAAAGAAGCCATGGCAGATAAAATTGTATTAGCAAATATTTACAATTAAAATTTGGCCAAAATTCTCTATACATGTAAAACCACTTTAGAGGTTGAAAGACTCACTGAAGGAAACCCAGCTGGTCTGGGAGCGGGTTTCTTGGCAGGATTCATATTCTTCAAAGAACAAAATGGAAGGCTGGTAACAAAGGCGGCTTTTGATAAACCACAAAGATCGGATCGAACTGTTCGATGCAAAGGGAGCATTTTTATGTAGTAAAGGCCCGGCGCTAACTTAAATCCGCCGTTTATGGCGGTTGAGTTCACCGAGGAGTCAGGGGGACAGAATGGGGGGTGATGATTTAATTCACCGGTGACGATATCGGATTTCCACCGATTTCGAAGAGTCGGTGTCTTCGGGAAAGTAAAATTTTTCATTTTTCATCTTCCGGGCTTTGGAGTTGGATCGTTTGAGGCCCAAACTAAGCTACAAATAATTGTATGGTTGGCCTCAGAAAGATTTTCTATATTCGGCTTCAGCCCAAATAAATAAGTTATATACTTTTATTGTATTTAAATAAATTATTTTTTTAATGCAAATAAGTCTTTACTTAAAAAAAAAAAAAAAGAAATTGTTGTTACATCAACATCAACAGGTATTTTTATATACAAATAAAAAAATTTATATAGATATAATAAAAATATAAAGTCTTAAGTGAAAATTTTAAATATTTATGTGTTGTTTGATAAATTGAAAAAAAATTCAATATTGAAATATTAAGTATTGAAATTTTAATTTTAAAAAATTTAAGCACTGAATCCATGATATAAATTTTGACATTAATAGATTTTCATTAATTTTTTTATAAAAATAGATATGATTTTATGTTTATTTTCAATTGGTAACAATAAAAAAATAGTTAAAAAATATAGTATTAATGTAATTAAATAATTTTTAAATAAAATTGACTTAATACATTAAGTAGCTAAAACTTATTTAGCATTTTCAATATTTTTCATTGAAAATTTTTCATTAAGTGTTTTTTAAAAAGGTTTATCAATTGTATTAAAAAAAATAAAATCATGAAAATATTAATTTTCAATGATATCCAATCATATTCAATTATTTATATTTAGTATTTTAATCTTTCATATTCAACTTATCCATATTTTTCATAATTTTTAAAACTATTTTTGTTTTAACTTTTAATAAATGTATTTGAAAATTAAAAATAAAATAAAAATATATTATTCCAAATCTATTTTGAAAGGAATCGATCTCATAGGCTCGATCATATAATAAAACACCTTTAGTCTCAATTAGATGTGTTTATGAGTTGAGTCAAGTTGGATATAAGTTAGATTCATATTTAATATTAATAATTTATATATTTATTTAAATCCAACTCGGTTTTAAATTTTAGACTTCAAAATATTTTCAAAATCAACCTAAATCAAAAAAGTAAATAAATCTCAAATTTATCCATTAATTAATTTGTATAATAAAAAATAAAAAATATAATTAATTAAGTTTAATAGAATTATATTTAATTTACATATATATAAATATAAAATATAAAAAATATATGAAAATTAAGTTTAATAAAATATATATAATTTTATTTTTAATTATATATATGAATTAATTTATATACATATAAATAAATAATTTATATATATATAAATTCAAGTTGGATCAAATTGGATTTAAATTTTAAATTTTTTTATCAAAAACTCAACTCAAAATTTAAAAGAGTTTAAAAATTATACCTATTCTTATTTAATGAATTTTAATTTTTATTTAAATTTTTTTAAAATTTGAGCAAATTTTCGGATTTAATGAAATAATTCAATCTTTGAAAAGGTTTAACCCAGCATAATTGCCTTGCTGACATGGAAGTTGAACACGTCACCGAAGCGTGATAAGAGAGTTAGCAGTCGGCACAAAGCCACTGGCCGAGTGGCGGCAGCGCACTGATAACGTGGCGGGCACCTAACCCGGTTATCATGATCTCACTCGAAAGCGAGGGAGAGCCTGCGCACTCTAAAGACTAAAAGGGTATAGAAGTCAGCACCCACTCACTCAATCAATTGACCCAACCTAATTAGATGAAGCAGGACCCACTTCCAATTTCCCGTTTATCACCTCGAGTCTGTACTGGTTGCGTTCCCAAACGCTGCCCCTGGTATTTTAATTTTTTCACTCATTGCATCTATTGCCAAAGTTACAATATTATAAACAAAAAGGTTTTGCCAACGAGTGTTTTAGGAGCTTTTGTTTAAATGCTGTTTTCTTGTACCAATATTTGATAAATTAAAAAAAAAAAAATCTTGTCTTCCAAGTGGAGGAGCAGGTTATTAGTACTTGACAAAGGAAAAAAAGTTTCAAATAATTTGACTAGAGTTGATAATGGATTGACCAAAATTTGCTGGTTGGCACCTGAAAAGCTTTAATTACATTAGTTTTCTGTTAATATAAACCCTTCAATTGCTGCACATGGGACAGCCTGTGCACAACAACCTTCTGTTGCTTTACTTTTTTGGTACTGCTTTAATGAAATTAGATAAAACTGAGTAATTAACAATGCTTCCTACCTTAATGCCATCAATAACCCCACAACCATTTGTTTCACACAATAACAGTGCGAAAATGAAAGCTCTGTCCCTTTTTGGAAGTGGGGGTGGAACTTGCAAAAGTTCTCATCACGCTCATGCCACTGCCAACCTTTTCTTTCTCTTTCTTTCCTTGCTTCAATCCTACCATGAAAAGAAAAAAGAATTTCTGTAACAGCAGTCAGGAAAACATCAGTCCCACAAGTGAAAAATCTGTGTGAAGATTGCAATTCAGTTTCGGTCATGAAGCTCTATCTTTGTTGTATTCTCGTTCTGTTGGTCAATCATAGAAGTTGTGACTCCTTCATTCATGTTGGCCATAGGATAAGCCTTGCAGTCCCTTTAGAATACAGTGCTGGATTCATTGGGAGAGCTTTCCTGATTGATGGTAACCAGGTGGAACCAAATTTTAGAGTTGCATTGAGTGCTGAAGCTATCAAGGGGAAATATTCATGCTCCTTGGAAATTTTTCTAGGAGATGTGAAGGTATGGAATTCTGGCCATTACTCGCAGTTTTACACCTCTGAAGTATGCGTGCTTGAGCTTACTGAAGATGGAGATTTACAGCTGAAGGGTGCGAAAGAGAGACTAGGATGGCGAACCGGGACTTCTGGACAAGGTGTGGAGGTAAAATAAAAGTACTAGTGCTATAATCATTGTCCAGGAACTACTAACCTGATCACTTTGCGTAGTCAAATTAAGTGATTCTTTTGTATTTCTCCTCCTGATGCAGAGATTACAAATCCTGAAGACAGGTAATCTAGTCCTTGTCGATGTTTTGAACCAGATAAAATGGCAGAGTTTCAATTTTCCAACGGATGTAATGCTCTGGGGACAGAGACTAGATGTAGCTACTCGGTTGACTTCATTTCCAAGAAACTCAACTTCATTCTACACTTTTGAAATCCAACACAACAAGATTGCTCTCTATCTGAATTCTGGTAAGTTGAAGTACTCTTACTGGGAATTTAAGCCTCCCAAGAACAGAAATATCACATTTGTTGAATTGGGTTCTAAAGGGTTAGAGTTTTTCAATGATAAACATAAAAAAATCGCGCAGATTGCATCTTGGAGAATTCAGCCCCTGAGGTTTTTAGCACTGGGAAATAAGACGGGAAATATAGGACTCTATTTTTACTCACCTAACACACAAAAGTTTGAAGCCTCATTTCAAGCCCTCAATTCCACCTGTGACCTTCCTCTAGCATGCAAGCCTTATGGTATATGTACGTTCTCCAATGCTTGTTCATGCATACGGCTTATAACAAAGGAGAATGACATGAATTCTGATTGCAATGAGGGAACTTCAAGACAGCTCTGTGGCGGATCTCAGGTAGAGATGCTTGAATTAAACGGTGTCAGTAGTGTCCTCAGAGATGCTCCCAAAAGGGTTAATGTCAGCAAGACAGCATGTGCAAGTTTGTGCTTGGATGACTGTAAATGTGTTGCTGCATTATATTCCTCCGGAAAAGAGGCCACAAATTTTCAAGAATGCTCTCTTTACAGGCTGGCTGCAGGAATTAAACAGGTTGAAAGAGGAACAGGATTGAGTTATATGGTAAAGGTTCCAAAAGGAACCAGGGACAATCATAACAAGCCTAGTGTGAAAAAATGGGTCTTGATTGTCGTGGGCGTGGTCGATGGTTTAATAATCATACTGTTTCTGGCAGGGCTTGCTTACCATTTGATTCAAAAAAGAAGAAAAAACTTATCAGGTACTGACAATAATACTTGACAGCATGTGTTTGTTCAATTTCTTATTGACAATTCCAAACCACATTGTAGTTCTTTTCTGTTAACTAGGACAAGAAAACACAAATTTGGTTGTTTTTGGCATGCTGTTCATAGATAGAGTTATGCAATTACACCACAAATATTATAAATATCAGTGATAGCTGGAATCATATTGCAGTAAAGCAATTTTTAAGATCATTACATCCCAAACCTAACATTAGATCCTCTTCTTTATTCAATGTCCGACTGCAGTCAGTAAGAAATAGCCAGAGAAGATGAATGCAGGCATCACTAACCTACAATACTCTGACACTTCTCAACGGAAAATAAAACTCCAAATTTAGACACATTATAATGTATCACAAAAGGTTCAAATTTGAACCCGGAGCTTCACTCAGATGGTTCATTTAGCCTCCCTTAAAAGATGGCATCCTGCATATCTAGAGTTCAAATCCTAGCACCTGCATCTCCTTCTCCTATTCCCAGGTCGCGGTCCTATGTACCAAGAAAAAGGGTCAAATTTTCTCTGTTCTATCAGTTTCATACTGGTGTGGAAGCTTCGATGTCTTTACTCTTAAGAACATGGCAAGAAAGAGTTGAACATGTTGAATTCATTCTAAAACAATGTGAATACCTAGCTTTAAAATTCATAGCAAACAGAAAGAGGGCTTAAAAATCAAACATATCATAAATGAAAAAGAAAGGTACAGTGGGAGAAATGAAGGTTGCATCAATTGAGATAAATGTTTTTTATGAATATAAAAAGAGATACGTCTTCGTCCATGAATTTAGGCAGCTTTGTTGCACCAGGCAAATAAGGCGACAAAAAGACATGGAAAAAGGATAGGAAACAATATGTTGATGTACCTATACATTTTGCAGATCATTTCTGCAGAAGTGCAAAGATTTTAAGCAGGTGATGCACCTCTGCTTTATAAAGATGATCTTATATTTTTAGTTCAAGTAAATATTTAGGAGACATTCTTTAAGAAACATTTGTAACTTCATCTACTTGAAGTTGAAGCTATAACTATGACATCAGCTACAATATTTATAGCAATATTAAGCTGAGTCCTTGAAGTTGATATATCATAGACCTAGTCAAGTCAAAAGGTACTGTCATTCTAATTAACAGATTTGAAAAAAATGTTATGCGGCACAATCAAGACAATCAAGCCAATCAATCTCATCTTCTTCGGTGGGTAAATTCGGCTTAGAACTGTTGAAAAATGACCTTACATTGAAATACTGAGGTACAAACCATCTTCATCTTTGATAAAAGCATGAAACAAACTGAAAGAAAAAGGCTGGGGTATGCATTGAAGAAAAAGAGGACAAAATTGAGCATGATATAAATGAGATTTTCCTGTCAAATACTTCAATTTCTCATTGAAAGACCTCAAGGGGGTGAGGGCAATATGAAGCAAGCATTTTTCACATGACTCTGTAAGATATAGTAAACCTTGATAGCAGCCTTAAGTTCTTAATGTGGGGTATGAAGATGTAATTATTCTCATCACACCACAACGCAAAGGCCAGAAGCAATAAAGCAAAAGTATTCATCTGGAAAGCTTTATTCAAAGGAAAATATCAGTGTTCACACTTTTAACATTTGAACAGATTTTCTTGCTTGGTATTGGTAATGGTAATATTTTGATGAAAATCTCTGATTTTCATTCATCCCCTTAGAGCATTGTTTTGAGCAGTAGTTAATGGAGAGTCTTGTAAAAAGTTCTTCCTCTGACATATATGCTTATAAATTTACTTTTACATATTTATTCATTCTTTCATATCTCATCAATAAAATGTGATAGAATTACGGTTGTATCTGACAGAAATAGGTACAGTGCAAAAGGAAGAAAGAAAAGCTACCTGAAAGCAGTAAGAGACAGTAAATAAACAAAGAACACCATGATTGTAGAAACAAAAATAAATTGTAGAAGTTAATTTACCAATAATTACTGTTTAAGCAATGTGATTGAATTATCACTGTCAAAACCCAACTGCTGAGACTTTGACAAAGTCATTACCAGTTTCTTGGACCCAAAGCTGAAAATCACTTCTATTTTATAAGATAAGGCCTAAGGGAGGCAAATACCTATAACGGACATGGATCTAAAACATCAATGTACATGTCAATATACATGATCAGCCCAAATTTTTAAACAATGTGCATGAAAAAGCTTATCAAATATACGGTAATTGATTATAAACTAAAAAGATACATGATTGGTCCACTCACCTTTACAATGCTTAATTAGATGAGGCTTGAAGTGAAACCTGAATAGATAGAGACCTAGAATAACTTATAGGTGCAAATGAAAAAGAAAGCTCTGACTAGATGAATCTGATTAGCAACAGTGCTCTGATCTGATCCAAGTTCTGCAGCAGCTTGGGGAAACTCCTTTAGTGGAGACAAGCAATTGGGCAATATTAAAGATGATAAGAAACATCCCTTCTTCACATGAAATAGCAACCGGAAGATAAAATCATAATTTAAATTACTCAAGGAACATACATTTTATAATTCATTGTCCTAGGTAATTGAAAGCTTCATTCATCCAAAAAGAACCAGAAAAATAAAGACTAATGAGTATAGAAAAATACAGCAATTTCAATACAAAACCAGCAAAAAAATAACAGTAGTGTCTAGCAACTCTGGAGTGGCAATTAACTCTCAATTTGATAGTATCGTGGCCTCCCAAGTCCCAGCTCTCCTGTTATTTCTTTCACATTAGATATAATAGATAAAGGCAGACCAAGCAAATACAAGGACAATTTTCTCTAAAGCATTTCCTTTAAATAACATCTATGGTCACTGGAATTCAAAACTCCAGTCTCCACCTTATCTGGGAACCTAGGAAAATTTTCAGTACTTCATCCGAAGCCTGTTTAGATAGGAACAAGAAAAATAGATATATATATAGTCTCTTGTCTCAATCGAGTGATAAGGGAATGAGCAACTTATGCCTGCACGGTTTGGGCAACTTAATGGCCATCAATTTACTGAATTCATGCTGAGGAATATGGTAATGAAAATCAAACAATTCTTTTAACTATCCTAGCTACTTTAGCTTGTTTATGTCTCAAAGCACAACTTGCAGTTTGATATATACTAAATTATTACTGTTTATTCCGTGAGATAAAGTCCAAAAGCCCGTTTCAACCTCAATGCCAAAGGGTCTCTTCATCCTGCTTAACAATGACTGGAAAAATTAAGATAACTCCATAATTGCATATTAAATCTACCTGCATATAAGTTATTGATTCCCCAACTACTAGTTCTTTTTAGTGATCTTATCTATCTGCTAAGGTGAACAATCTTGTTTTTAGGAGGATACCGGAAATAAGGGGAACACCAAGTTATAGAGACAATGGTATTTGGGCTTGAGATATACCAGAGGACATCCCCCCTCCTTCCACTAAGTAAAAAACAGAGGGTGGAAGAAACCCTTAAATGCTCATTTCTTTGTTATTTGGGTTCGAATTCGCTGGAAGAGTGCGAGAAGGTGATTTTTTATGAATTTCTTAGGTCGGACATAAATAAACCTGCTTAGACTGATCCAAAGAGTGAACATACTTCACAAAGCCAAAATCCCTTTTGCCACTGAATAAAAAACCATTAAAAAACGTGGTAGAATTTGGTAAATTTATATGGTTTCAAGAAATATCGCTTGATGATGATGATGGAGTTTGCAAATTAAGGTATAGCAATGCAGAATCATTTAGTGAAAGTACTTATCAAACTTTATCCTGTAGCTAAGCAAGAAAGGTCTTTTTTCTCCTATTTTGTGGGGGATTAAACATCTGCTTTTCAAAGTAATAGTCTTTACTGTCCAGTGGGTTAGTGTCCCTACACGGATGATATAACCTTGATAAAATAGGAGGATTCGTCATTCTCGTTCGCTATCATCATTTAGCTTGTACGTGTGTTTTTGTTTTATCCGTGGATTTTGCTGGAGGATCCCACATGTGAGGAGATGGGACATGAATATTTTGTACAATATATGAGCTGCATATTATAAATATGTATGATCAGATGCTGTTTTTTTCCTATCAGATTTTCTTTACTCTCCTCTCACGAAAAATGCTTTTGAAGAAAAAATTTTCTGTTTCCAAGCTAGAACATTGCCCGTGAACCTTAATGTCACAACTATATATCTCACGTCACAACAGAGAGACGTGGCTTTGTCTGCCCCTGGACCCTCTGTAACTTTAAACATCACTTTTCAATCTCCAGGGGAGACCCCATCGTTGCAACAAGCCTTAACCATTTACTGACAAAGTCCTCTTTCTCTACCTTGTATGATAATCATAGCTTAAAGTTTGGCCTCTAGTACAAAAGTGAACAGACAAAAAACAGCATTTGTTTATTTAATTTGTGGCATTATTAATTCAACTGATCATTCAATCTCACCGAGTGAATGATGCTGCGAGTTCAATACGCGGTAAGCAGGTTTAGTTTTTCTTCTCTCGTATTAGTCTTTTTTTGTTTTCACTGACAACTGGTTCATTTTCTTTTTTTGTATATTTTTTCAGGTTCCATTAGTCGATTGATCATGTTAAGGTGAATCAAGTGTCCAACCATATATAGCTATATTATATATATGAAAATTCAATCTGCTTCTTCAATGACGAAATATTGATGACAGCATCAGGATATTTGTATAATATATGTTCCTTTCAGGGGCTATTTGAGGTGTTTGAGTGCCGATACTTGCATTGTAAACTTCAATGTTGACAAATAGATATAGCTGTCAAGAGCTTGTGAAGCTTGTTTGCAAGCATGGGCTGCCTTGTCTGTATATAGACAACTGTTTGTAATCTAAATGATGTCTTGGCAAGTATAGCAACTGTTGGGCGCTTGCCCATACAGATTAATGAAAAGTAGCCTTTTTTATATAAATTCTCAACTCCTACATAAGTAATATTCTACGAAGTTGAAGAATTTTCTCCATCTAGGCCTTGTGAATTTGGCCATGCCTCTCTTCTGATCACTGTAGCAGTAAAGGAGTTTTTCTCATACGCGTAATGATTTTCTTTTGGTATTGTAGTCTGTGGCTGTGGGTCAATCCCTTTGTCATTTGAAAATAAAACAGAAATTCGTACCCAATCCTACTTCTTTCTTTTATACCCTTCTCAGAAAAACAAATGAATTAATTTACTTAAAGAGAAAAAGTATTCTGATCCTAAGTACTTTTTTTTTTTGTATATAAGAGGTTGCAATCTAAGGATAGGGGGAAAGAGTTGTAAGTACTGATATTTGAATCCTAGATCTAT